ATGCCGTGGTCTGTGGTGCTACAATATATGGGAAGATCCTCAGTCTATATCCCAAGGTCTCCCTGTATATGCCAGGAGCATTGTGCCCTTCATCCAGGCTGGCTGAGGCTGGGGATGAATTGCAATGTTAAGACCCATGGGGGTGCATGTTTCTCTGTCTCTCTGTCTCCCTTTCTTATGAAGGAAATAAACTTTAAATAAAAGAGGGGGTGTAGCCCATAGCACAATGGTTAAGGGAGCCAATCCCACATGGCCAAACATGGTTAGAGTCTGGCCTCAGCAGCTTGAAAATCACACTAGGCACATGTGCAAGCATGTCCAAAATCCCCATAGGAAGGAGGAATGGAGGAAAAAGGATGGTGGTGCGACCATACCCCTCTGGGAGTTGCTCTCTCTTTCTCTGGTGAGTGCACATGCCCTCCGACAATAAAAAATTGTTTTTTTCATTTTTTTTTTTTAAAAAGGACGTTCCAGAGACCAGGAGATGGCATAATGGTTACGTTGCTGGACTCCCACGTAGTTGACTGCAGTTCGAGTCCTGGACCTGGCAGCTTAAAACTCACACTGGGCACGTGTGCATGTGTGCCCAAAATCCCAAGAGGAGAATGAAGGAGAAGGGACTGCTATGTGGCCATCTCCCCTGGGGGGGTGATTTCTCGTTTTCTGTCTCTCTGTCTTTCTCTTTCTCCCCAGCAAGTGCACATGCCCAATAGCAGAAAATCTCTCTAAAAGGGAAAAAAAAAAAAAAGGATGTTCCTAGATTGATCTCTGACTTTTCTATTTTCCCCTCTCTTTTTATTTTCTTGTATTATCTGGGTAACTTTCTCAACCTTATCTTTCTTTCTTTTCCAAGAAACATTTATTTATTGATTGATCTTTTTATTTGTTGTGATCTTTCAAGCCACCAACCCACAGTCAAACAAGTGGGAATCCAGCCCCTTAGCCACCACATCACCTGTTAGCCTGTCAACCTCATCTTTCTTTTTTTGTTTGTTTCTTAAATTATTTTATTTATTATTATTATTCAATTTGAACAGAGAAAGACAGTGAGAGAGGGAGAATGAGAAAGCAAGCTGCCATGTCCAGGACTTGAAACACAGTCAGCCATGTGGGAGTCCAGCGCCTTAACCACCATGCCACCTGCCTGCCCTATCTACCTTATCTTTCAACTGTTCACTGGAGTTCTTCTTTTCTACTATCGTGTTTCAATGGCCAAGACCTTGTTTTTGGCCTGCAAATGTCCCTTTTTTATAGCATCCTGTTCACATGAGTGTAATATCCTGTCTGGCCTCTGTGAGGATATTCATAATAGCTTTAAAAAAATGTTTCCCCATTCCTAATGAAGACTACATGCACATGTACAAAAGACAGAAGAGAGAGAGGAAAAGAGGGAGACACACCCTCTGCAGGGTTCAGTCACACCGTGATCCCCTTTCTCCAGTCCTTCAGTCCATCAGGATCCTGAGCATGTGCTCAAGTGCCTGACAAGACCCAGGCTACCTGGGTCAGGGGTTCCAACTGTGGTTGACAAATGGCTTCCAGCTCTGCTGCCTAGTAAGCTACCCAGTGCATCAGAGATATCTGTGATAAGTGAGCAGAGATATCTTTGATAATGATATTTTTTTTTTTTTTTTTTTTTTTTAGTGAGAGATTTTACAGAGAGAGAGAGAGAGACAGAAAGAAAGTGAGAAATCACCTCTGGTAGGGAGGGTGGTGGCCATACTGCAATCCCTTCTCCTCCATTCTCCTCTTGGGATTTGGGGCATGCATGCACCTGGCATCAGTTTTAAGCCACTAGGCCTGGGACTTGAACCATGGTCAACCATGTGGGATTCTAGTGTCTTAACTCCTATACCACCTGCTGGCCCCATTTCTCAAAGTTTTCTTCTGCAGCATGATTTCAGCTTACACTAAGTTTCCTGTGCCCATGTGTTTGTCTGGGGTGGGGTGGAGTGGGTGGGGCTGTCTTCTGTATTAGAAACTGTATCCAAAAGTCTGGTAAGCCTTAGCCATGTTCTTATGACCATGAGTGGGAACCAAGGCACTGAGCATGTGTGAGGCTGGCTGACCCTGGGCTCAGTGCAGGTGATCAACTAGGGCTATATCTTGGGGATCTCCTGTGTTGGCATCTTTAGTCTTTCCTCCTCGCTGGTCAGATTCTCCCTGAGGAAAGGTCTTCTGGTATTCTGCCTGGATGATAAAAGTGAGACAGGCAGTTCTGGGGATTCTGTACTACTTGGGATATAGACTCCATGCCCTCAGCTGTGCCTCTCTGATTTTTCCTGGCCCAAGAACAAACTGCCCACCCCTGCCTTCTGAGGGTTCCAAGTAGACAGCCCCTGGCCACAGAGAGCAGGGGAACTTTCACCTAATCCTTCTCATTTTGGTACCTCCTTCATACCTTCTTTACCTCAATTCCAGACGTACCCGTGCTGTCAGT